TGGCTTTCATAAGCCAACCATTCCTTCCTGAGCTCTGCTCTTTCATATAGTTTGTGAATACATCCAATAGCATACATCCCACAGTAGCATCTGTTTTTTAACCTCTTTCCCAACTCAAAATCCATTATGTACATTATCTACCTCCCAGCTTATCATGGGTAATAGTTCCGTCAATGCTTCACTGCTGCATACTGTAAAGGGCCATGTGTCTTGCCTCCAAGATTAGCTTTGTCTGCCAACCAACCTCCAAGTGAATTCGTTTTATTTTGGATTCTTTATTTAAGCAGCACCCAACTTCTCTTATTATTATCTATATTTGTTTCAAGGTAGGTTGGCTGTATGCTGTATTAACAAATGACCTCAGAATCTCTGGCTTATTTTGTGGTCATTAAAAAGTCCTTTACTGATTTGGGTATCTTTCTAGCAACTGTTTGTCATGAAACAACTCAGTGATCCATGGTGTCAGAGGATTTCCCAACCTGTAGCTGCATTATCTGAAAGATGCAGGCTGGTGACAGCGTACCAAGTCTTGTAAGCATAGGCCCAGAAGCAACTTCATCACTGACCCACAGTGCATTGGCCAGAACTTATTCATAAAGTCCTCCCTAGAATGAATAAATCTTTCTTCTTAATTAAAGTTCTCCATGGAGAAGAACAGTTGAGTTGGTAACCAAATTTTCTGAGGCCTTACTTAGGCAAGGCTAGATAAATAAGAGTCTGCCTAACTTTTAAGGGGCTTAGAAGGCAGTCTTCTGTATGCTATAAGTCTATGGAGAGTCAGATATTAGTGAAAGCTAATAATGTTTACCATTTCATACAAATGAATTAAGTAGGGAAAGCATTTGAATCACAGAAGAGTTTAGGTAAGACTGCAGTCATTGAACATACTGGGTTTACTTTTCTCCAATCTTCCCTAAAAGGCCAATACCTGTCCAGTATAGTCCACTGTTAAATAACTAAGGTAATTAATATTTTCTATCTTCTTCATACTTCATTATGCTAGATTCACTCATTGCTTTCTAGGAAATGCTTATATAGCCATATTACTTAAGAATTAATCCTATTAGGGTACAGGTGAATTTGTCTAAAGGTTGAATATAAATGTCTTTTTTTTTTTTTTTT